GGTGGTGGCGGTGGTGGCGGTGGTGGTGAATATGGAATGGGATCTTGTGGTGGAGGTGGATGGACTCTGGTTATGAAAATTGATGGAACAAAGGTGTTTTATCCTCCTTTTTATGGTTTTGTTAGTATTCTTGCCGTGGAACTCACAGTAGATAATAAATAGATAATAGACGTGAAGTTTATAATGCTAGAAAACTGTATCTAACCCACATCGTTAACTGGAAATAGTTACCCTAAATTGTGTGGGGCATTGCTAAGAAACATTTCTTTTTGTCATACAGAGCTGATAATTGAGCCAACTAGGCCCATTAAGAAGCCACGTCCACTCAAAATTCAAGGAAAACGTAGTTACGAGTAAGAGTGCCGTTTCATATATGATTGAGCTCCGTATGTTGTATGAGGAATAGAGGCATTCGTCTATGGGCTTAGTCTCCTTCGCATATCTTTTTTTTTTGGGGGGGGGGGGGGGTGGGGCAGGGGGTCAGAACCTCCCGCTTCTCATACCATGTTCTCCCGCTTCCCATACCTTTATCTCCCGACTCCCGTCCTCGTCCGTTTTGGTCCCGTCCCCTGTAAATAAGGAGACTGAAAACACATACTTGTCNGGGGGGGGGGGAATTTTGTGACCTACAAAATAACTTCCCAGACTGTGATTATTTTACACGGGATAAAACCCAAAAAACCTAAACTCATACTTGGCATGGTTTCCATACCAGAGATTCTTGGTCAAATGCTTACTATCTCTCGTTTTCTAGCAAACGTTCCACTACAATTCCAATCTCTGGAGCAACAAAGAAGCATTCAATATCGTGGGAGGGGAGACCGGGTTTGACACCCTTGAGACCAAGCTACCGACATATTGGAACACACCCTTTCTCAAAATCTGTCTCGGTATGAAGATTCCAGGCGAGGAGACCACGAATTTTATCACCATAAACAAGACCGCTGATTCCCTGCACTCCTTGATTGCTGACGGGCAATTCCGAGCCACATCACTGGGTCGTGACACGTGGAAAACGCTCTTTGGTTCCCAAGGCTCCTTGCAGGACAACTGTAACAGAGAAGGGTTCAATGCAGATGACGACGGACTGAACAGAGCCAAAGCAAGAATCGGTATCATTGGAAACAACGAAAACCACTGCAATACTTGTGATTCCAGAATCGGGTTTGGAACAGGAGGACGTCATGACGACTCCAACACTTGTGGAATTGAAGCAGTCGCTGCACCAGATAATGGAATCAAGCACATCAAAGCCATGGGATATATCTTAATTCAGTGACCTCGCATGCTAATTATAAAATAACGAATGATGGTCCAACTAGGAAAATGCCAGTTTTTCTTTTATTGATATCGCTATATTGACATTGCGATATCGATACGCATTGCACAGCAAGAGTAATTATTATTCTACTACATTACGCAATTATCCCACGTTAGGTCAAGAGAACGCGCAAAATATGAGCCCGTATTGCACCATAGAGTCGTATTTTGTTTTGGACATTCGCACGGGAGCCATCTGCGATCGGCTCCATTTTCGGATATTGTGAGCTGTATTTCAAAACTATAGGCCGAAAAAATGGAAAATAAGACATATACATTGCAGTAGTGGAATACTAAATCGATAAGTTTGTTTGTTTGAAGTGACTATCCCAAATAATCGAAAGCAATAGATAATTGCTCGGTAAAGGCCAAAGGGAGTACGGGCAGGGGTGTGGGAGAAAGGGGCATGTGTGTTAGTGGGGGAGGGGGNGGGGGGGGGGGGGGGGGGTTAACTGCAGCCCCCACCGTTACGAAAATTGTCAAATATTTTGGGCAAAACGCTCACGATCCGGGTAAAAGCAATTGAAAAAAAAAAAAAAAAGCTAAAAACAAAAACACACACACACAAAGAAAAAAATGCAACAACAACAACAACAACAACAACAACAACAACAACAACAGCCAAAAAAAGAAACCTTCCAAAAGGTTTCAAGACTTGTAGGTTATTTTGTCGGATGTCTGCTTTGCCAAAACGGACTTCAAGTCAAAAGTTACCAGGGATCCAGGTATTCCGTTTTGAAAAAGCCACATGTCAGTTAAAGTTAATACAGAGATCCACGATATGGTTATTAATTCTCTTCCCATTTTCCCGTTTTGAGCCAGATCAGCTCCACAAAGAGCCGTCATGTACTATTTTTTTTTTTTTTTATTTTAAAATTTTTATTGACGACTTCGTGCGAGGAACTGATTGTTCATCGAGGTCATAGAATATGAGCTGTTTCAAAATTAACCAGCTTTGTAATTCAGTTATAAAAGTTTCATCAGACGAGTGAGTTGTGAACTTTTCGTGTCTACTGCAATCTGAGGGCGTTTGTATTTACTCACCCATTCGGGCATTACATAATGCCCTGAATTGTTTTTTTGTTGTTGTTTTTTTTTTTGCTTTTTAATACCGGCATCATGGAACTTCTTCCCACAAGTTCGAGGATGTTCGTACGCCGATTAAAAGCATTTCAATAGTAGCGTTAGAAATCAGGTTTGTAAAAATATACAACAATTATCAATCAGCTTCAAACATAATTAGAGTCAGTGGTAACCAAAGAAGTTGATAGAAATGCCAGCGCTTCGAGGAATTTAAGCAATTGAAGTGCCCAGCATTAGAGTCTAACGACACCTTTTCTTGATGGTGAGTTTGCCTTCCCTGTACTTTTTAAGATGTGTTGTGCGTTTCTCCTAGCCACTTAACATGTTTACATATGAGCTCGTGTCACACAGAAAGAATAAGTTCGGTTCCTTGCCAGTACAGCTCTCTGAGAGGCAAAATGGGAATGGCGACTTCTTCACTGATAATCTACGGAAATACAATGTGATGAATCTATGAGATGATCAAAATTTTAATACAGATATATGTTATGCTAATACTTTATGTTCTTTTAGAAACAATTCAGCCGAGGGAAATAAGATCCTCCCCGTTAAGAGCCTATTCTAAAGACAGATGGATAAATATAGAATACGAAATGAACATACAATGATAAAATTATAGCATTTCAAAGTCAAAATAAAGCGACGCTATCAAGGCATTTTGCTGTATGTTGGTCAGAACGGTGTTATAATTTCGCCTGAGAATGGTTCGAATTCAAAGCGTGAAATTGATTGTTGGATCGTCAAGATGTTGAAAAGTCATTACTTACTCTCCATTACAAGCCACTGCTTGCTCTCGAGGCTTGATAATAATAAAAACAATAATAAGCCAAGGCTTGTATTATTCTCTTAGGTGAGATTTTTAAAAAAGTTCTTTCACGAAGGTTGTGTGTTGTGATATGTTGTGTAAACGGCCAAAGATAGTGGCATCTCTTGCATTTCCAATTGCTGTGCCACGGTCTTGTTTTCGTCTCTGATGTTAGAGATCGGATCAGTTCCTCTCTGGGAAAGTTCCTCTTGAAGGGGCTTATCATAAGAAGGGGCAAAACACAAATGACATATGTTCACTACACTCCATCACTTCAAATACGCTCGTCATCCAAACATCTCCTTTTAACTCCGTCTCATATAACTTGAAAACATATGACGCAAGATCCTTCCAGTGGCAGCTCCTACAATATGGAATGCTGCACCATTTGAAATAAGAAATAGTTCGTCCGTGTCCGTCTTTAAATATAGACTTAAAACGTTTCTTTAAAAAATATTTTTAATATTTTTCAGACTAATGTTTTCACTTTTTGGATTATTTTTAGATGTTCGCTGATATTGTAAAGCGCCTTTGAACATTAGGATTCTGGTACAATATAAATCTCTTTGACAATCATCATCATCATCATCATTATTGTTATTATTATTATTATTATTATTATTATTTCTGATTGAAACTGACAAAAAATCAAGTCAATTTTTATTAAAAATTAATTACTAAGTGGCACTGAAGTCATAAGTTGGTTACTATGCTATCTAACGCATGCGCTATGAGATTTCAAGTTGAAAAAAAAAGTGTGGCAGACTTTTTCAAATTTTGTCTTTGTTTCTTCCATAAATTGATAAAAATATGTAGGTTCCCTTCAACAACTCTAGTAAAATCTCCACCATGTTTTTCTGAAAGCATTTTGTGCACGAGGAAAGATACAGAGTAATTATCAGTTATCATTTAGCCCAATTTTATGCGTTTCTTTTCTTTTTTTTTTTTTTTTGCTTTCAGCTTTCATTGTAACGAAAGAGAAAGGAACCACTTTCTTCTACTTGTTTGGCATGGTAAACATCGGGTATCCCTTGAGATTAATTCTTACCAAAACTTACGGTATTGTAATTTTCTTTCCTTCCGTCTTTCTTCTTTCTTCTTCGTCNTTTTTTTTTTTTTTTTTTTTTCGCTTTTAAATCTTTAGAGTCGGCTATTTGAAATGCAGATATCATAAATACGTAAACGAAAATTCCACCTCATATCCAAACGATCAATTTGGTATTCAACAATGAAAAGACGCAGTAGGAATCTTATTGTTACTCTACACTGATGGCTTCTTCTCAAAAATAGTAATAAAGATTCATGAAATGTTTTGCTGTTGAAGCGGGAAGAATTGTACCACTAAACTGTAAATTATACATCAAGCGATCACAGATCATACATACTTCTGCTCTAGTACTTAGCTCATTTATAAATGCATCACATAAGTGTTAGCTGGAACAAATTGAAGTAAACTGAAGTACATTGAAGTACATTGTGATGTAACTACATCACAAAATTTTCTGACCTTTTTTCCAACATAACTCAAATAATTTAATAACACTAGTGATTTGTTTTATTATTGTTTTTGCCCTTAAAGGAGAGATATGACGGTAAAAAAAGAAATGGAAGTGAAATATTACTTTAGAAACAGGTGTTTTTGATTTTAATACGACTTTGGTCTCATTTTAATTCCAGTCGACCCTGGTGGTAAAAATTTAACAAATTGGAAAATGATTTCGTGATATATGTGTATATTATATTTATATTTGCATTTCTATTTACTTTTGCCTAATTCGTCAAAAAGGAGATAAGGGTGATCTTTGTTTTAGCATGGTGAAGGAATTATTTGGACTACTGAAAGATAGACAGTCCTAAAATACAATATTTTATTAATTCCTCTCAACTTTTATGGCAAGTTTTGAAATTAACATAAGCATTGTGATGGTAATGGTAGCTGTTATTATTATTCAAATAGCATACCACACTCCAAAGAGAGAATATTAATTGTTTGAGGGTGCATCTTATTAGTCAAAAGCAGAGTCAAAATTGTCTGATTTTGTTGACGTCGCGGAATAGTTCGATTGTGTCAACTTAAATGAGCCCATAACCAGTCACGTTATTTTGAGTTATTTTGGCCACCAACGGAATCATCTTTAAACTGAATGAAACCTGAAAATAATAGTTTACTGAGATATAATAAACCGTAAAGAAACAAGGATTGTTAAGGATGGAAAAGACTGACGCGGTAGATTGACATCTGTTTGAGGTTATGCAACATAAAACCAAATGTATCAGTTATTAGAGGTGAGAATAGAAAACATTAACTGCAATTAAGTAATCCAACTCATAAAGGACCCCAAGAATTACGTTCAGCGTTGAGCCATGGTATTACATCTTTTATCCAGTGGATCGTTAATTTTTTATATATTTCTTCCAATGGTATATATGGAACAATGAAAACATATGAAATCGGTTTAAAGTAAAAACAAAATAATGTTAACGCTGTTTATGTGGCAAGGAAGTGGAAGCTCAAGATTTTGAAAAAGATGAGTAAAGAAGACAGCATTGTTTTCCTAGTCGTGTTGATATACCTCTTTTCGCTTAGTCTCCGAGACGATCTCTTTTAAGAACATATGTAACAGCCATTGAAGGTCGGTAGTGACGAAGTTAAATTTCAGGAGTTCCGTAGTTGTCTAAATGTAAATCTGCTTTACCCAGGAGCTTTACCCAGCCAGTCTTCTCCAGAGCAGCTCTTTTTAGGCCATTATTTGCAATNAAAAAAAAAAAAAAAAAAAAGAACTGTGTGTAGGATTTAATTTAGTATCCCGGCCTTTCAGTTCTTATAATACTCGGCAAACTAAGCCCAAAGGAAAATGGCAGCTTTATTTGTTGTTTTAATTAACTCGAAATCCATTAACTTGAAATTTTAAGTAACAGCTACCAAACCTTTATGGTCGCCGTTCGCCGAAAAGAAAAATCTGTTTGAGCCTCAAGTATTTTTCTTACTAGTTCTACCAGAACTGCATCCTTACCAAGTTGAAAATTTTCATTTTTTAATTATTTTTTTATTTATTTTTATTTTGCAGCGGACCAGGTGATATTCACAGACAACCGGTCACAATACGTTTGAATTGTAGAGC